TATTGAATAAGCAACTGTGATTGATGTCAGAAACATTTCGACTTTAATTTTTCGTGGGGGATCATTGTACAAAGTGTTGAAATGCCTTTAAGTTTTGATTTTATTGACTTTGATAAAATGTGATATCAAGTTTTCTAAAAGTTCCTTGGAGTTTTTTATAAAAAATTCCTTGGAGTTTAATTATCCATGTCTGATTTACACTACCTTTCTGATATACTGCTGAATGGTAATTTAAATTCATTTTGATGGTTAAGAATGTTAAAATCATTTAAATCCGAACGATGATTTTAAATATTTTCTTTTAAGAAAGGACGCTATTGGTATAAGGTGAAGTACCACTTGAAAATATAATTTATGGAGATAACGAACGGTATTCAAACTCAAAAGTCCATTAAACAATGCACAATTGGAGTAGAAACACGACCTCTAAGACATCAGAGGTAAGACTGGATGCCCTATAGGAGTGATTATCCCTTTGTCGACTGGTGAAACCTGTCGTTCCCTCCTTATCATGATCGGGAAATTAAAAAGGGATAGATAATTTCCATATTGCCCCTCAATCGCTAAATAGTATTCATAATTTATATAAGAAAATAGATTAATAAGGCCCATCCCTTCTTAACGATTTTCTCAATTGCCAAAATAAAGGTTTGCAATTGATATTTCTGGGGATTAATATTTTTTTTTAAATTTCGAATCAAGAGTTTTTATTGAAGATAAAATGCATTAGAGACTAATGAGGTCAGAAGCTAAATTACTTTTACGTACAAGAAAGTAGAGTCGGAATATACTCTTCAGTTGAGACAAAATATCTATTGTCAGGGTAAATGTATATCAAGCATCAGCCATATTTTCGGCGGAAAAAAACAAAATATTCTACGTACTTGTATTTCTTACTTAATTGGTCAACACTCAGTGCTACAATGATTTTAAACAGTTTCTTTATTCATCATTTGCCACTGCAAAGATGGGGATTCTACAAGTACTATGCTTTATTCTCTTTTTGCACTTACTGCGTAAATGGAATATTTGCCCTTATGCCTTTAACCGAGGGCAAGAATTCCGATAAGAATGGTTTGTTGCCTAACAACGTAACCGATAAGCGTCAAATGTTCTATGGTACAAAAAATACAAAGTTTAGTGATGGATGCTACCGACAGGAAAACTGATAGTAAAGTCATAAAGTCGTAACTTAGCGACGTGACAAAAGACTTAGAGGATTTGGAGTTAGAATACCAAGTAATGAAATAGGAAAATGTCAAACTTCAAGACAAATTAAAATCGATTTATGGTTCAGTAAATGACAATAAAAATATGACTTTGGAAAAAATCAAAACCTTGAATGAATCTCAAATTATCACTTTTGAAAGCAATCTCAGAAAAATGAAAGAACTTGAAGATGATGAAAGAAATGAAAGCGTGGTCCTAAAAAACAATGACCGTGCATTAACAAAAGAAATTCAGGTTCTCAAAGAGAAAATGAATGAAAAGGAATGTGACTATACAGGGCAGTGTGGACCTTGTCGAGAGGGTGGAAAAGACAGAGGACATGTTAAAAAGTATTGTGGTTCCTTACAATGAAACACAGGAGAATGCTGAGGATGTGAATGAATTGAAATTGGTATCGTCAAAAGGTATAGCATTTCTTTACATTTCAGCATGGAATTATATTCAAAGGTAAAATGCAGACAGATTATTTCTTGAATATCTATTGTACTATCAAAGGACAGTGGATATAGATGTGATCGAGTGTAGAAAATAGTTAGATATTAAAACAAACACACATAATTTTTAAGCATGATAAATCTAAACTAATATAACAATTCGTATCATTAAGGACATTATAGAAAAAAAACGATTTTTTTAATAAACTTACATTGCAGATATTTTATGTTTTATTTCTCTCATTATACAGATGTTTGGGTTGATTGTCCCAGCCATCTCCAAGAAACAGCCAGTAAAACAAAAACATGTGTACAATCCTAATATGTCGTCCCCGACTTCGTTCGGGGCGTTCATTTGGGACGATATAATAAAAGAGACGTAGCAAAGTAAAAAGATTACAGTATATGGGATGAAAAGCAAAATAATGCTATATCAAACTTGGTCAGTGGATGACAATAAAAATATGAATGCATATCAAATAGGCACTGTTAAAGGTAACCTCATAGATATGACAAATTTTAAATGTTGCGTAAAATAAAAGTTTGGTCATCAAACACACAATAACCGTGTAATAAATACATAAATTGAAGTTCTCAAAGATGATGCGACATCATACAAAGCAGTCTACATGTAGACACTTCTAAAAAAATGAAAAGGAAAGCCAATTCAATTAAAAGAAAAAGAGATATTTGTGAAAGTATATGAGAGAAAGAGAGCATTTAAAGATTTTGAGGATATACATATGATTCGTTTCGTAATTGCCAAAAAATGTTCACGTTTCATGCTTACTTATCATGTTTTTAATTTATAAACAAATACTCATGATTCAGACCCGGGTCTCTTTAAAAGTCTACAAACAGGATTTCAATTAGGAACTAAATTATTATTTGAACTAACTTGACTCGGATATTACGTAAATATTAGTGATTAGATCCAGGATAAAATGTTTTCATAAAAAAGTAGAAAACTGAAAACATAACATTAGTGTACCTCGTCTTTGATATGTGTTTATTCAATCTGCACATTATAAACAAAGATTGAAAGTTTCATCGTTTTGGTAAAACACATTTATCTCAATTCGTCAATCATCGCGTAGATAACTTACGCCCAGTTCTGCACAATATAAAACCAAGAAAATGCCCTCTTATGCATAAGTAACAAAGATGGAGTGTCAACGAATATTTATTTTAATACTCTCTATGTACGCGTGCAGGACCTTTGGACAATTACCATTACCTGAAAAAGCATCAGACAAATCTAATTTGTTACCCAGTAACGTGTCAGGTAGAGCGTCCAACGTCCTACGTGACATTCTGAATCAGGACAGTCTGGTACGCTTCTCTATGGTACAAAAAATACAAAGTTTAGTGATGGATGCCATAGACAACAAAAACAATAGACAACTTATGAAGGCAAAGCTTAGTGAGGTGACAAAGGACTTGAAGGATTTGGAGACTAAAAGTCAAAATATGGAGGAAGAAAACAACAAACTTAAAGAGGAATTAAAGACGGTGTATGGGACGGTGAATGACAATAGGAACTTGACAAAGGACGAAATTCAAAATCTTGATCAGAAAATAAAAAGTAAGACTTCAGCTCTCCACGATGAAAATCTTAAACAAACCTTGAAAAATGCAGCTTTTGAAAAACAACTTGATTTGTTAAATAATACTATAAAACAAACGGAAAGAGGTGTTCGAAAAGACATGGAGACATTGAAGTCATCGGACATGAGCACATTTGAGAGAATAAACACTCTGAATAAATCCCATGTAACAGAAGTAAACAGGAACTTCGTAAAAATAAAAGAACTTGATGATAGCTTTCGAAATAAAAGTTTGGTTCTGGAAAACAATGATCGAGCACTTAGTCAAGGAATTGAGGTTCTTCAAGATCAATTGAGCGAAATGAACGCGACATTACAGATCAGTGGCGTAGAAGTTCTCGCCAGACAGATTAAAAAGATGGAGGACAAGTTCGAGAGTTTTGCAGTGTCTGTAAATGAAACGCTCAACAACGATCGGCAGGTTCTGAATGAATTGAACCGGTCCTTGTCAGAAGGTACAGAATATCATTGTAAATTCTATTTAATATTTTAAGTATTAAGTTGAAGCTAGTTTTTGGAAGTTAATTAATTAAAAAACTGAAGAATTATTGTATATATATTTTGATAACTGAAGCCAAACTTTGCAAAACTACTCATTTTAGATTTATCAGATCTTTTCTTAAAATCAATATAGATTCACAGAAAATTCAAATATCTTAACCTTACTCGCACATTTAAATTCTTTATTAAGTTCCGATTTTGCTTCATATTAAGATTAAAGATAGAAGATTAAATACTGTGAAATCTCAAAATCGCAATTAATATTTACTTTTTGGTGTTTTTGAGGTACACACGCATTTATATCCTCCAATAAATGTCAACATTACAAAGTACTAAATCACGTTATAGTATACATGTATCTTACAACCTCAAATATAAATTAATACCCCCCCCCCCCAATAAACCAGGAAAACTGACCCCGTTAAAATAAACGAATATATTCCCAATAATCCAATAGCAATGACTATATAATAAAATTCCTGACCAATATTTTGGACTCATTGCGGGTTTTTTCTGTCAACAGAAGACGTTAAACAACATACAATCAACAAATCAATCACTGACTTATTATTAGTGGATGTTAAAAATTAAATAAATCACTTTTACATCTAAACACATTTTGTTTTGCAGTGCTTTCAATTAATTGTCATAGTTGCTGGGATATTTTACGGAAATACCCGAGTTTAAAGGGAACTGATGGAGTATACATGATAACGGTAGCCTCTAAAGTAAAGCTTGTTTACTGTGACATGAGTACAGATGGAGGAGGGTGGACAGTGAGTGTGAGCCTCAGTAGTAAGGTCTGTTTACTGTGACATGAGTACTGATGGAGGAGGGTGGACGGTGAGTGTGAGCCTCAGTAGTAAGGTCTGTTTACTGTGACATGAGTACTGATGTAGGAGGGTGGACGGTGAGTGTGAGCCTCAGTAGTAAGGTCTGTTTACTGTGACATGAGTACAGATGGAGGAGGGTGGACGGTGAGTGTGAGCCTCAGTAGTAAGGTCGGTTTACTGTGACATGAGTACAGATGGAGGAGGGTGGACGGTGAGTGTGAGCATCAGTAGTAAGGTCTGTTTACTGTGACATGAGTGTGAGCCTCAGTAGTAAGGTCTGTTTACTGTGACATGAGTACAGATGGAGGAGGGTGAGTGTGAACCTCAGTAGTAAGGTCTGTTTACTGTGACATGAGTACAGATGGAGGAGGGTGAGTGTGAACCTCAGTAGTAAGGTCTGTTTACTGTGACATGAGTACAGATGGAGGAGGGTGGACGGTGAGTGTGAGCATCAGTAGTAAGGTCTGTTTACTGTGACATGAGTACAGATGGAGGAGGTTGGACGGTGAGTGTGATCCTCAATAGTAAGGTCTGTTTACTGTGACATGAGTACTGATGGAGGAGGGTGGACTATGAGTGTGAGCCTCAGTAGTAAGGTCTGTTTACTGTGACATGAGAACTGATGGAGGAGGGTGGACTGCGAGTGTAAGCCTCAGTAGTAAGGTCTGTTTACTGTGAAATGAGTACTGATGGAGGAGGGTGGACGGTGAGTGTGGGCCTCAATAGTAAGTTCTGTTTACTGTGACATGAGTTCTGATTGAGGAGGGTGGACGGTGAGTGTGAGCCTCAGTAGTAAGGTCTGTTTACTGTGACATGAGTACAGATGGAGGAGGGTGGACGATGAGTGTGAGCATCAATAGTAAGGTCTGTTTACTGTGACATGAGTACAGATGGAGGAGGGTGGACGGTGAGTGTGGGCCTCAATAGTAAGTTCTGTTTACTGTGACATGAGTACAGATGGAGGAGGGTGGACGGTGAGTGTGAGCCTCAGTAGTAAGGTCTTTTTACTGTGACACGAGTACTGATGGAGGAGGGTGGACGGTGAGTGTCAACCTTAGTAGTAAGGATTGTTAACAGTGACATGAGTCCAGATAGAGGAGGGTGGACGGTAAGTGTGAGCCTCAATAGTAAGATCTGTTTCCTGTGACATGAGTACAGATGGAGGAGGGTAGACGGTGAGTGTGAGCCTTAGTAGTAAGATTTGTTTCCTGTGACATGAGAACTTATGGAGGAGGGTGGACGGTGAGTGTGAGCCTCAGTAGTAAGGTCTCTTTACTGTGACAGTACAGATGGAGGAGGGTGGACGATGAGTACAACTAAAGATTGTTAAAAAGTGACAAAAAAGTCCACTCCTTGTCCCAAGAAAATAAAATTACTTAGTGTTTTAAGATGTTTCTTTTACGAAACATAGAATCTAAATCTGTTTTTCAAATAAAATTAACACGTCGTCAATTACTTACGTTTAAAATCATTCAAAAGAAATTAAACATCATTTAATCTGTTAAAGGCTATACAAAGAAGACAAGACGGATCTACAGATTTTTACAAGACGTGGTCAGAATATAAACAAGGATTTGGGGAATCCTCTACAAACTACTGGATTGGTGAGTTTAGTTTATTTAACATTTACATTATAATTTGTCTATCTAAATGAAGGAAATGGAGAAGAATATGGAGATAACGAACAGTATCCAATATCAAAGTCCATAAAAGAATACAAAACAGGAGCAGAGAAAACACGGGCCTCCAAAACATCAGAGTTGGGATCAGGTGTCATAAAGGAGTGAGTATCCCCTGCTGACCGGTCACACCCGCCGTGTACTCCTTGTCATGATCGGTTGATTGATTGATTGATTGTATGTTGTTTAACGTCCCTCTCGAGAATTTTTCACTCATAATGAGAAATCACCGAATGCTGGTGAAGGACCTTTAATTTAGAACTATACTCAGCACTCAGGGCCATTGAGCAGTGAGGGTTCTTTATCATGCCAATGCATACCGTGACACATGACCTACATTTTTAAGGTCGTATCCGAAAGACCCGTGACTTTCACTACTACTGCCGAGCGCTTGGCGAAGGAACAGTCACTACCTATTTTTACTCTTACGTATGCCGCAAAGGAGAATCGAACACGGGCCTACTGTTCAGTGAACGCTCTACCACTAGGCTACCCTTACCGGTTTGATCGGGAAATAATGGAAAAATCCGTTGTCAATACTGTGCATAAACGATGGACTAATAATTGGTATGAAAAACATCAGTCAGCATTTGACTCAATGATAAATTGTATTTGCTAAAAAGGTCATTCATTGTCTCTACCATAGAACTTACGAAATGATTACTTTAAATGAGACTGCTGATATTCTTGTTTCATCAACTTGCTTGTTAATAATTCACCTCGTTTTAGAAACTATTTATACTTAGAGCATGCTCTTGCATATCGAATCAACTTAGCTGCAGATCTGTAGCTCTTCGAAAAAAAAATATATTGATAGACCGGAGAGCTACAGTGCCACCCATTGAAAAAACTGTATATTTATTGCGCACAAAAAAGTGCTTTATTGATATGTATTGACATTATAAGGTGCCTATCTTAACGCAGTGTCGGAATTTAAGCAAGAATTTGGAATTTAAGATATTTCTTTAAAATATTTCTAAAGGAAATGACGCAATCTATAAGTTGACAAAGAACAAAGACCGGGAAATCCGGGTTGAGTTGAAAAGTTTTGATGGCGCTGAAGCATACGCTCAGTACTCCACATTTTATGTCGGGAATGAAGACAGTAAATACAAACTCACTGTGTCTGGGTTCTCAGGAACTGCAGGTAGGTCTATTTGTAAATTTTCGTACATACCTAATAAAATTTAAGGTCACAAGTGATTAACGGATGCTTTTTTATTACATATTTTTTCCAAGACATACAGGAATGAGTATGAATTTCTATACTCGATATTACTCCAGCATGCTAGAAGTTCACGGCGAGATACTTTGGAATTGGTGAGGAATATAAGGAGCGTAGGGACGTTAACCGAGGCTCTTACTTGTAGGAGTATAGCTCGATGTATGTCAGTGAACTTGAAATTATAGAAGCCACAATTTCTACAACAACAGTTTGTACAGTGAAAATTCTTCTTATTCTACTATCAACTATCTTTTTTTCAAAAGTGTGGTTAATATTTTCTCCTTTATTTCTTAAGAAACCCATTGCGTTAATCAGTGCATAAACTACACTAGGCATGTCACTTGTACAGATTTCTTGGCTGTTCCATCAATGAAACGTACAAAGACTTTTGCATTATTAATACAATAATCAATCTTTTTAATCCTACTTTAAATGATCATTTAAACAGATATAAATATAATACAATAAAATGTCTTTCTTTGGTTGATAGTACAGGAACCAATGTCGAAGCTATTGCAGAAAAAAATTACTTAACCCGCTTATGCGGGTTATGTATTTTTTCTGCAACAGCTGCGATATGCATTTCTGTACTAGTTAACAATCAAAGAAAACATTTTATTGCTTAAGTGTGATCAAATATGTTGATCCTTTAATTCACTCCTACAGGAATGCATAAGGCATTATTGTTTGGTACAAATGAAAATGTTTTCTGGTCCTTTTAGCACAGATGATACAAACATTTTTTTCTCTGTTGGAGACTTAATATCATGTCACTAGTTTAGAAAATGGAGAAGAATTTTTCTCCTAAGAACTGGAAAATGAAATAGACTTGAAAGAAAATATTAGTAGTATTTCAATATAATTACAAATATGGACAAAACACACTCAGTACAGGTTTACAGATGGAAACAAATTTCAGAATATTTTACCTTGGTGCTAAAAGTGTAAAATAAACTTTAGAAAAGTAAACCAAACCAGGTCAATTTTATCAGAAAAAGCAAAATGGTAAAAATCAGCCTATATGATATTGCTGATTTTTTGTCATTTAAAAAAAAAAAGTTTGTATCATTTGTCTTTAAATTACTGAATTACGAAGTTTCTCTTATAATGTGAAGAAAGGAAAGACCGACATAAAAGTCGGGAAGGAGTGAAACTGTGCACCTATATTAACCCCTTCACATCCGGTGTAAAGACGAATAATGACCCCCATCGAATAATGACCGCGGGGTCATTTTTCAACGAGAAAAAATGACCCCCAACCGTAGAAAAAAATCATTTTTTGTAGAAAAAGGGTCCAAGGGGGTCATTATTTTATATGTTAGTCCTATAAAATAATGACCCCCATTGAAAAATGACCCCCTTTAAAGTGATACAAAATATACACTCTTCGATATCTTTTTTACAGGGAAACTAATTTTTACATTTTCTGTAACCAGAAAAATACAAAAAGTCGTATGAAATAATTAAGAGATTCACGTAGTCTTTCAATGCTAAAATTGTGTTTGAAAAGAGATTCTTTAATTGTCAAGTAAATAAAATTTCTTTTTAATATTCCTCCTTATAATGTTCGCTTAAAGAATGATATTCCACTTGTTTTTAGAAATCAAACCATGCAAAAATCAGGTTTAAATATTCTTTAATAGGAAAAATTAAATTTTCCGTCATTTCAACTATTAGTTTGTTTAAGTTTGGCAAATCCTATTTGACAATGAAAGAGGAGGAAATTTTTACCCCCTCCCCCCCCAAAAAAAGAACATTACGTTAAATCAAAACAAAAAAATAATAATAAATGAAAAGCAAAAATATAAATAAAACTCTATACCTTTCAATAATTCTGAAAGATGCTCTAGATAAAATATTGAAATGATGTTAAGCCTTATTGAAATGAAGTTAAACACAAGTACTATCATATCATAATTTACTTCGCCATGATTCAAGCATACTTTAAATGTTGGTGGAGGTATAATTGAAATTATTGTGGCAAAGTAACAGTTAAAAATTAGTAGAATAGTAGATTATTTTTAGCTTATTTTTAATTCCTTCTTATAGAAAAATAAAGGTAGGGTGTTTTTTTTTTTTTTTTGCTTTTGTTCAATATCGACTTCCTCCTAAATAAGAAAGGGGGTGGGGTAAGTATAAGACCTACAAATATGCTCTGTAAAGCTATGGGCTAGTGTAAAATACACAGTCATTCTAATGCAAAAACTATACATGTAGACATAAACTTTTGATTTAGCACACAGTATTCATTACATTTCTTTTAACGTAGAACCTACTTCGTATGACATCATAACTTGTAAATGTGTTAAACCTGTGCTAACCCATTCAGACGTCATATCAATTAATTCAATGCCACTTTTTCCCGTACTTGACAGCTTCAATAAAAATGGTAGAAAACACTGCATTTTGAAATTCACAGAATTCAATCATGCCAACATAATCTTGATTCAATTCATATATTTTTGGTTTATAATGCTTAATGGCAATATATTTCTGGAATAAGAGAAAATATGTAGGCACCTTTTATTTACTAGATCTAGACCTGAAGTTGACAAACCCAAGACTATCTAGTGTAATGAACTTACAATGTATATACAACTTTCGTAATAATTTGAATTAATGGTATGTAACCATTTTGAAGGAATGCATAAATCGTAAGAAATCTTTAGTTGCCAGCTAAATAGTGTAATATCTTGATGAAATGTGTCTAAGTCAAAGATGTACGTGTTGTAGATCGTTTGATCGTTTGTACATTTTTGTGATATCTATAATGATATGATGTGCATTCCTTTTAACAATTATTTGTTACCTATTCATATTCTTGGTGTTTGATTACAATTTTTCTATTAAATATGATCTTTTTAAAGAAAAAGTACAATTTCTGATAAATATTTAATCTGAAAGTAACCCCAAACAGTCATTTAATTATTAAATCCCGTGTAAGTGCAAAAAGGTCAAGAATATGAGAAAAGGTAAATAGTCTATCTTTCATTAGTTAGAGGGGAAAGGTATATATATTTTAATCATTTTTTTTTTATCATTTGGCTATGTTCTTCATCATATTGAAGATTGAAAACATTGTGACAAAGACGTTAAAAAAATATTTACAAATATAGGGTGAATAATTGACTAAAAATAATAGAGTTCATTTGACTATTTTTGTTAATGGTGGACTTACCTTTTATGTTAATTGAATAAAAAAGAAATTATTCTTGATAAAATTTTGTTTAATATTATTCACTTAAAAGAGTTTATAAACGACGATGTTTGAAGAAGTATTTTTGTGATTTTTCATATTCCCTTTATGACAAGTACCCCCCAAAATATTTGAAAATGTGAAGTCGCAGTATGTAAATACCATACCAAGTTTCACAGCCTGTTCTAGATTAAAAAACAAGGAAACATATCATGATATCTTAACTGATTGATAAGCAAGTACTAATTTATCATTTTGAAAAGTTTGAAAATCTTGTGACAAAGACTTTTCCGACATAGGTTCTACCTTAATTCTTGTTTTACTCCACCCTTTTACTCAGTTTTGAATATATTTTTCAGAGAATTTAATATGAAAATCAGAACAAACATTTTCATTGTTGTAATCTTCTTTATAATGTATATTAATATGAAAAGTTAATTGAAGACCATTTCTTTTTATGTCCCCGTTATCGAAGATTCGGGGGGTATATAGTTTTATCATGTT